GGTTCTAGAACTGCAAAAAGCCTGATAAGTCTCCTTGCAGATCAGAAGGTATACTAAGCCTTGAGGTAGAGGTACTCAACAGCTTTGGGCATTTCTCAAAGCTTTAATGAGAGCTTTCACTGTGGTCTTCCTAGTGTTTTACGGAGCAAGAACCTTTTCCTATCACCACAATTCTGGCCTTTACCACCAGATATTTCACTTGCTGGTGGCTACAGCCTACCACCGTACTAAAAACAGCTAAATTTTTTATTGGAAGAACACTATATATATATATATATATATATATATATATACACACACACATATATATATACACGTATATATACGTATATATGTATATATATATACGTATATATATATGTATATATATATACATGTATATATATATATATATATATATATTTTTTTTTTTTGAGACAGTCTCGCTCTGTCACCCAGGCTGGAGTGCGGTGGTGTAATCTTGACTCACTGCAACCTCTGCCTTCCAGGTTCAAGCGATTCTCTAGCCTCAGCCTCCTGGCTAGCTGATATTACAGTTAAGTGTCATCACACTCAGCCAATTTTTGTATTTTTAGTGGAGACAGGGTTTCACCATGTTGGTCAGGCTCATCTTGAACTCCTGACCTCAAGTGATCCACCTGCCTCGGCCTCCCAAAGTGTTGGGATTACAGGCGTGAGCCACTGCGCCCAGTGGGAAGAACACATTAAAGTCCTTCCAGGGACAACAGTGAACGATTGAGGACATTGTACACCATGACTGAGGCTATCTCAAGATAGATTCCCAAGGGACCCAAGTAGTAAAATTAGCCAGGAGCAGTGGTTTGCTGTGTTAGCAGCATTGTAGGCAGAGTAAACAAAGTCCTAGCTACTTCTCCCAAGCCTGTTGAGGATACAAACCAGTCATCCCTCACTATTCTTGGGAGATTGGATCCAGGACACCTCACGTGGATATTCAAGTCCGGAAGTCAGTCCCCTTTATCAGTGGGTTCTGCATTCAAGAACACTGCATTTTTGGCCGGGCATGGTGGCTCGTGCCTGTAATCCCAGCCTTTGGGAGGCAGAGGCAGGTGGATCACCTGAGGTTGGGAGTTTCAGACCAGCCTGGCCAACATAGTGAAACCCCATCTCTACTAAATATACAAAATTAGATGGGTGTAGTAACGCACACCTGTAATCCCAGCTACTCAGGAGAATGAGGCAGGAGAATTGCTTGTATCTGGAAGGCAGAGGTTCAAGAGATTGCACCAGTGCACTCCAACCTGGGTGACAGAGTCTCCGTCTCGGGGGGAAAAAAGAACACTGCATTTTAAATCCAAGGTTAGTTGAATCCATTGATGCCAACCCCGTGGATGCTTAAGGCTGGCTGGCTGTACTTTACAGATTACTCATAATACCTAAAACAATGAAATTGCCATGTAAATAGTTGTTACACTGTATTAGTGCTTTTGGTGTTTTTTTTTGTTTGTTTTTAAAAAACTCTTGCTCTGTTGCTCAGGCTGGAGTGTAGTGGCTCAATCTTGGCTCACTGCCACCTCCACTTCCCAGGTTCAAGCTATTCTCCTGCCTCAGCCTCCTGAGTAGCTGGGATTACAGGCATGCGCGACACCCGGCTAATTTTTGCATTTTTAGTAGAGACATGGTTATATCATGTTGGCCAGACTGGTCTCACACTCCTGACGTCAAGTGATCTGCCCACCTCAGCCTTCCAGTGCTGGGATTTCAGGTGTGAACCAGCACACCTGGCCACTGTATTGGTTTTTATTGGTTCCTTTTCCCCAAAACTATTTTCAGTCCACGATTGGCTGAATCCTTAGATGTGGAACCCTTGAATATGGAACGGAGGGCTGGCTGTAACTAAATTCAGCCTCAGACATGCAGGTTTGTACTTTTCCTTAAAAAAGTATATGACCTTTTTCAGAATACACTCATTAGCTCTATTTCCTCTTTCACTCGTGGAAAATAATAATTCTGGTCCAGGCATGACATCAAACTGGGGTCTGTTGTGTATTTCACTTACGTGGTTGCCACTTACTTTTAAACAATTCAAACACAACCCACATTTTTCTTCCCTCAGATTTATATACCAGCTGATAAAAATACATTTCAATCTATTTACAGGACAGCACTGCCTACAAGCCAACAATGCTGTTAGCAACATCCCATTTTTGTCTAGACAATAGTACTTGTGCAATTTTATATAATAAAAAGTAGAAATGAAATATACTTATATTCCTAAAATTTAACTTAAACTATAATTGGATAAAAAAAAAGATCACCAGGAACGCCCAAAATAATACATCTACAACCTTCATAGGGCTATTTACTAAAACAGATGCATAATTGTGAAGGCAAAAAAAATCCAAATTAAAAAAAGTTTATGAAGACTAGAAATATGTCAAAAGAACGTGTAAGGACAGCTGGGCACGGTGGCTCATGCCTATAATCCCAGTACTTTGGGAAACTGAGACAGGTGGATCACGAGGTCAGGAGATGAAGACCATCCTGGTTAATGCAGTGAAATCTCGTCTCTACTAAAAATAGAAAACATTAGCTGGGTGTGGTGGCACATGCCTTTAATCCCAGCTGCTCAGGAGGCTGAGACAGGAGAACCGTTTGAACCCAGGAGGCGGAGGTTAAAGTGAGCCGAGATTGGCCATTGTAATCCAGCCTGGGCCACAGAGCCAGTCTCCATCCCCTCCCCCCCCCACCCAAAAAAAAGTGAGAACAGACTAAGGCTTTAATGAAAAACCGCTGTAGCACAGGAGCCAAAACCTATTTCAAAACAAACAAGCCTTACTGTTACTAAACTATATGTCTATTTCTAAGAACACATTAACCATACATTTATACACAAGTTAAGTCACCACTGAGTCACATGGTACATTTTAATTCCTTACCAACATCCATGAACCACTACCCACCACCACGTATCTCAATTTCCTTATTTGTAGTTAGAAAACAGCAGTGAGGTGTTTTTGAGGTGGGGTTTCGCTTTTTGCCCAGGCTGGAGTGCAATAGCACGATCTCGGCTCACTGCCAACTTCTGCCTCGAGGGTTCACGTGACTCTCCTGTCAACCTCCCAAGTAGCTGGGATTACAGGCACCTGCCACCATGCCCGGCTAATTTTGCATTTTTAGTACAAACAGGATTTCACCATATTGGCCAGGCTGGTCTCGAACTTGCTGATCTATCCGTCCACCTCAGCCTCCCAAGGTGCTGGGATTACAGGAGTGAGCCACCATGCCCAGCTGAGTTTTTAACCCTAGATATGAATTAGAATCACTTGGGAAACTTAAAAATACCTGTGCCTGGGCCCTCCTCCAGCAATTTAAATCAGAATCTCTGCAGGCAACAAAGCTGAGAATCTCAGAAATAACTATCCTATTCCTAAGTTCTTCTTGAAACTACTCTAATATTGACAAATTTAGAAATACCTATTACAGGCCAGGCATGGTGGCTCATACCTGTAATCCCAGCACTTTGGAATGCTGGGGTGAGCAGATCATGAGATCAGGAGATCGAGACCATCCTGGCCAACATGGTGAAACCCCATCTCTACTAAAAATATAAAAATTAGCTGGGTATGGTGGCATGTGCCTGTAATCCCAGCTACTCAGGAGGCTGAGGCAGAACAGCTTGAACCAGGGAGTTTGAGGTTGCAGTGAGCCAAGACTGCGCCACTGCACTCCATCCTGGTGACAGTGTGAGACTCCATCTTAAGAAACAACAAAAAAACCTATACAGACTAAGCATCCTTTATTATTTTTGAGACAGGGTCTGGCTCTGTCACCCAGGCTGGAATAGAGTACCACAATCTTGGCCCACCGCAACCTCGCCTCCTGGGCTCAGGTGATCCTTTCACCTTCGCTTTCTGAGTAGCTGGGACTACAGGTGATATGCCATCACGCCCCACTAATTTTTGTATTATTACTTTTTTTTTTTGTAGAAATGGGGTTTTGCCATGTTGGCCAGGCTGGTCTTGAACTCTTGACCTCAAGTGCTCAGCCTGCCCCGGCCTCTCAAAGTGCTGCTATTACAGGCAAGAACCACAGCACCCGGCCAGTTTCTTAGAATAAAGCTCTGTAAAAGTTTAATGAAAATCCTATTCTAATGCTACTAAATGAGAAATCAACAACTAACACCCAACTTAGTGATTCCCAACCAACCATATATATTTTAAAGAAAATTACCATACTTACATTTTCCTTTCCATAGCGATTTCAAAAGAAGGTAGGGTACTAACACTTTCTAGTTTAGAAGGCCAAAGCCCAGTCAGTCTCTATAATTAAATAATTGTTTTAAATCCTATTCTAAAACCAAGCTACTCTTGTCACAAGCCCCATTATGCTAACCACAAAATTTAAGAGAATTTGTGCCTGGACGTTAACACCACATGTCAATTACAATATACGTATTCCTTAGTCAATTCTGGTATCACAGGACCTGAAAAATAGCTGCCTGGTGTCTAGATTACTTGGGCATTGATTAAAACCACTGCACACAGACAGGCTATTTGTTCAGTTGAAGAGAAAGGGCATAAAGTGACAGAGCAACAACAAGACACACACACACAGAGAATGTATTTCTTGTGAAAGAAAAGAATGAAATGAAATGTAGAAACCTTAATGGTCTTTTGCTTTGGAAAATTAACTCCACAAGCCACCAAACATACTAACAATTAGGTCAGAAAAGACATTAAAGATGTATGTGTTCCTCTAGCATCTTAGAAAGTGGATATGCTATAACTTCCCTTTTGGTTCCAGATTCAACACAGCACAAAGGAAGAAAATTTTTATTTACTATACTCACAAGTATGATTAAGTGTTCTTGTTTACTCTGGTAGGTTAAAATATCAAGTATTAGCTCCCACAGAAGAACTGGTTTTAACATTTAATCCTCTTCGAAGGACAAAAGGGGGAAAAACTCATTAAATGCTGAACACTGCCACTTCAAGTACCATTTCTGTCTTTGGGTGAATGTACATAAGACTAAACCATGATCCAACAAGTTTCCATTTGGTTTCACTAGTATCACTCAAAGAACTTGACACAGACTAATGCTTTAACAGCTTTCTTATCTGAGACAGATTTAACTCTAAGAACATATGACTTAACAATGTACAAAGATTTGTTAGGAATTTGCCAATCTGTCAATCATTTTGAAGAGTCCATATAATATACATAGCAATATAATATTCATAACCAGAAACTGCACTAAGTAAACACATCATTTAGTTTGTTAAGCTCTACCTGAAAACATGCCGTTTTATTAAAACAAAACCCAAAGACTCAAATCTCAAGTTATATGGTTTTACAATGAAGTCTTATTGAAGCAGCACAGATTTTCTGTCTTACAAACAAGTTAATATGCATGAAGAACCCACAAAGTGCACACCAACAATGCGACAAATTGTAATATGTGAAATACAAATAAATCCTGGAGTTAATCTGAAGAATGTCAAGGAGTTACCAGAGAGGTTATGTAGTGCCCTTGATTTTTATTTTACCTACAAGTCTACAAATTCTAAAATTTACTCAATTGATTTAATTTTTTAATAAACAGCACCAGTCTTGCCCATTGGTACAATTAAAATTTGACCTTCTCAGTTCTTAGTTCTCAAGTTTATTATGAAAAACACTGCAGTGCTCTTGTGCAGTCACATCGTCTTACAGGAAGGGGAAAAAACAGTTCTGTTCAAAACAACTCACCAGGTTCTGACAATAACAAAGAACAACATAGGGCTGAGATTTGAGTAAGGAATAAACTGAGTGCAGACAAATCATATAATTAAATTAAATGGTATCCCTGAAAATAAAAAAAAAAACAATTTCAAAACTCACAAGTAGAGGGGAGGCCTTGGTACTTATTTTTAAAAATGTTCATTAAGCTCCAATGATTGTTTGCTGCTATCCTTATCTACAGTCATGCTAAGTAAAGCTATATCTAAATGGAAGTTAAATTGTATTCACGAGGTGTTAATGTTTACATCTTATCTGCAGTCTCTCAGAGAAAGCAAAAGTAACTACAAATAGCGCTATGCCAGAAACTGGTTTCTTGACCAACAATGTCGCTTCAGCATGCAATGAACTGGTTCATTCTAAAGTGGTCACGGCTGTTGATGACAAGAGGCTTTGTATATTTATATGGCACATCTTTTGGTCCGTGTGAAAACAAGTTTTTTGAATGTTAACTATTTTCTGACACTTTGGAGTTACTGTTGCTCTTCCCATTTCCATTAGGTCAATATATGGTTCATGGCAATACTGTACAAGTTTAAAATTTCATTACAGGAAGTAGTCTGGGGTACGACGAGTAACATGTGGCTCGCCTCTACGAGGTGCTGGGTCAAACTGCAAGCTGAAAAACAAGACAAATTCGTAATTTATGTTCCAAGACATCCATGTATTGACAATTAAAATCAAGAACATGAGTGTTCCACACTTTACACTTCCTATCCAATTTCAGCTTGTCTCAATGTAATAGAACCCTAATGATAATGGTCTGTTAACTGTACTCCCCTTGAAAGAGTCAAGCAACTTCAGTCACAGAAACTATGCTTTTATAAAAGCATGGTTTTAAAAGTGAAAAACCTAGTCATTTATACTAGGGTCTATACATAATAAGTTCCTGTTGGTGTGTTTCAATGTAAGTCCATTAAAAAAAAAAAACCTTAAAAATAAAAGTTGGAATCTAGCATAGCATAATCACTTAAACTTTATACCTCCCATTTAGAACTAAGTATTCAAGCTGGGTACTGTGGCTTACACTTGTAACCCCAACACTCTAGGAGGCCAAAGTGAAAGGATCACTTCTGCCTAGGAGTTCAAGACAAGACTCGGTAATACAGTGACACCCTCTCTCAAAAAATAAATAAACAAACAAAATAAAAACCTACATATTTACCAATTCAATCAACTGTTCAGGCAGGTAGAAGTACTTACAAAGAGTATTTTAGAGTATCGTCAAGTTCCATGATTGCAGCTTGGTTACCACAACGATAACAATAGTTTGGAGCACTGAAAATCGTTACTACATTCCGGTCATGGCACCAGTTATAACCCTACAAGGAAAAGGAGATAAATATCTTACTTTACTCCTTCATTTACAACTAAATGTTACTTCACTCAAGAGAAAATCTCTACTCATTCCCACCCCTGCCAAAGAGGCTTAAGAAATGTTAATGCTTTTTTTCTGGATGACTTACGAATTTGCGGTAATAATAATCCCTTTTCATACAATCTGTAAATAACCCTTTTTATACAACCTGTAAGACACACATGTATTTGTTTTCCCCCTAATTACAAAACTCAGTTTTTTAGTACTAAAAAGAAAGAAAGGGAAAAAAAAAAGCCTTTAACAAACAGCACCAACCACCAAAGAATAAACTGCTTCTTATGTATCTGACTTGCCGAAAATGGTAGCGTCTTATTAGCCTCTTCTACTGCAGTGGCCTTAAAACGTGATTTAAGAATAAGTATGTGGCCATTCCCTAGAGAGGCAGACACCTAATCCTGAAGACCAGAACCTCACTAATTTTCTTGTCACAGGTAAAGGCCCATTAGTGTGGTTCACTGCCCAGGAACAAATGAGACATGCCTCTAGTCTTTCCTGCCTTGCTTCCTCCAAGTCCAACCATCTGAATGTACAAGCTACTGCTGTTACTTTTTGTTTAGTATGTTCACAAATTTATCTTTAGCAAAGTCAGATTTTATCAATACCCACAGAGTTGTACTAGTATTAAACTAATTAGGACTTTATTTTTTAAAATATGCTCATCCGTGTGCCATGTCAAGAACTTTAGCCTTGGTCAGGCACGGTAGCTCCCGCCTGTAATCCCAGCACTTTGGGAGACCAAGGTGGGTGGATCACGAGGTCAGGAGATGGAGCCCATCTTGGCCAATAAGGTGAAACCCCATCTCTACTAAAAATACACAGATTAGCTAGGCATGGCAGTATATGCCTGTAATCCCAGCTACTTGGGAGGCTGAGACATGAGAATCGCTTGAACCTGGGAGGCGGAGGTTGCAGTGAGTCAAGAAGGCGCCACTGAACTACAGCCTGGCAAAAGAGCTGGACTCCGCCTCAGGAAAAAAAAAAAAAGGAACGTTAGCCTCTTTCCCTACTATTTTCTTCTTTCAAATCACCTGTAATCCTACCAACCAACGGACCATTTAAAACATTTTAGTGTATTTCTTTACAGTCTCTCCTACATACATACATGAAGTAAACAGTGGGATCATAAAATATTATACACACATTCCAACTCCCTACATCTTACTTTCCCACTCTTAAATCCCAAGCACTTCCATTCAGAATTCTCTGAAAACATGTTAATGGTTAATTAATTGTGATCAAAAGCGTGAGCTTTTAATTCTAGTGTGCACCTACTGAAAAGGCTCAGGCTATAATGGCAAACTCATCAGAAGGAACAGATGGAATTTCTTACAGAAGTCATTAATTTAAAATCCTGTAGTATCTTTCCTTAAGTTTACTAAGAAGCAAGTCATATTTCAAAGAACAGAGCATACCTCCATCACTAGCTGGTGAGCTCTAGACACCAACGTGAGGCCATTGGCATGATTAAATGTCTCAGAAATATCTTGTCCAAAGGTATAACCAGCTCCCCGAGGAGATATACCCCAACCACCACGGTCATCTGGATCTGACCACAGCAAGTCACACATTGGACCCTAAAAAGTAACTTCAAGTTATAAACTGCCTTTCACAAACATGGTTAACACAGTATTTGAGTAATTCAACAGAAGCAGTACCTAAGTCACCCTTTTTGACTGATGTTTGTGGAAAATGCTAATAGATTGTACAGTTGAAGTCAAACATCTGCATCAAATAAGATGTATTTTCTAGCAGTCTTTATGAGACACAGCTGACATCCATGGGACCCCACAGCAACATGCCCTAATTAATCTGCCTATATTACGCAAATTTCAGAGCTACGAAGACAGGCAACCTAGGTCCTAATAAACCCAGCTCCATAGCTGTTGTGATCCTGGCAGGTTTCTTAATGTCAGGTTCTTCTGAACAGGGCAGACGAGTGCTCACACCTCAAGTTGTTTTTGAGAATTAAATGAGAGAATATATATAATGAACTAACTTAGAATTAAACTTCTCTACTCCCTAATACGTTTTCTTAAAAGATTTCATCAAATAAAAGTCATACCTCATGGGGAACTTCTTGTAGGCGATCAAGCGCTCTGATATGATCCAGTGTATCTATAGATGGCGAGAGACCACCATGTAGACAGAAGATCTGAAACGAGTGGTTTAAAATGTTAGCCTCACCTAAAAAATTGGTAAACATTCTTGGCTGGGCACAGTGGCTCATGCCTGTAATCCCAGCACTTTCAGAAAAGCTGAAGGAGGAGGACTACTTGAGGCCCAGAGTTTGAGACCAGCCTAGGAAACACAGCAAGACCTTGTGTCTCTATAAAGTTTTTAAAAAATAAACTGGGCGCCCCCATTACTTGGCCTCACTGGTGTTTCTGTGCTCTGCCTGAATGAGGGTTGACTCTGCAGGGTACATCTTTGCTCCGGCCCACTCTAAACTACTGAGTACACTCCAATTCTTCCTAACAGACCATTGCTGTCACACCCAGACTCCACCTTAAACAGCTCCTTTCAGAAAACTTCTTGGATATTACTCCTACTCCCTGCCAGACACTAATGTCTTCATACTCAAAAAATTTTCTTGTAAGTTCTTTTGTGTACACATCTACCTAAACCAATAATTAGCTCCTTACATCTCTCAGGCTTGTCCAAAAACAGTCTGAGACGATATATGGATTACACTATCCACCTCTGTGATCCCACCATATCGTTCAGTGCCTGATATAAATAATAACACACTTTAAAAAATTGAACACAATTATTTGTCAAATTAAAATTTTTTTAAAGTTTGAATGAATGCTATCCATTTCTACTAAAATATATTCCCAAAGGGGTGTAAGAGTGGAGTCAGCTGGGTATGGTGGCTCATGCCTGTAATTCCAGCACTTTGAGAGACCAAGGCGGGTGGATCACAAGGTCGGGAGTTAAAGACCAGTCTGGCCAAGATGATGAAACTCTGTCTCTACTAAAAAAAATACAAAGAAATTAGCCAGGTGTGGTGACAGGTACCTGGAATCCCAGCTACTCAGGAGGCTGAGGCAGAGAATTGCTTGAACCCAGGGAAGCAGTGGCTGTAGTGAGCGGAGAGCGTGCCACTGCACTTCAGCCTGGATAACAGAGCAAGACTCTGCCTCAAAAAAATAAAAATTAAAAAGAGTGGAAAGGGTCATGAGCACCTCAACATTAAAGAAAGCAGAGTCTCTCAAATAACCAGCAAGGAGTTTTAAGAACCACATACCTGCCCATCCACCAAGGCAGTGAGAGGAAGATAGTCAAAAAGATCTGTAAAATATTTCCAAACATTTGCATTTCCGTATTTTCTTAAACACTCATCATAGAAACCATAAACTTGTGTGATCTGTCTGCTCTCATGATTCCCTCGAAGAATGGTGATGCGTTCACGGTAACGAACCTAAAACAACAAAATGGAAAACATAATCAACTAGCTTTCAGGAACCAATGACAATCCAGGAAACTTTCTATAGAAAAAAATCTAGAATTTCAATTTTGTTGAAGAACCAGCACACATCTTCTATCATACTGAACCAAAACCGCAGCTCTACAAAGTTTTTAAATCCCTATGGGGTGTTTGCTCACCTCATCTCAACTAAAATCAAACTCCCTCTATCACCAACTTTATACCAAGCATAATCAATGGGATATAAAACCCCACACATAAATTACTTTACAGTTCAGTAATTTTTCAAAAATTTACGGTTATGCAACAATCACCACAATCCAGTTTTAGAACCTTTCCATTACCCTGAAAAGACCCCTCCTGCCTGTCTGCAGTCACTCTCCACTCCCACTCTAGCTCCTGGCAACCACTGATTTACTTTCTGTCTTGAGTCTGTCTTTTCTAGAAATGTCATATAAATGGAATACAAAATGTAGTCTTTTGTATCTTTTGGCTAAATATCACTTAAATATTTTTGAGGCTCACCATGTCGTAGCATAGATTAGTGGTTTGTTCCTTTTCATAGTTGCACAGTTCTTCAATGTATGGCTATACCATTTCTTTTGTTTCCCTATTCACAGGTAAGATACCAGGGTTTTTGGCTAATACAAATAATGTTGCTATAATCATTTACATGGAAGTTTTCCTGTGGACATATGCTTTCATTTCTCTTGGAAAGATTCCTACATATTTAACTGTAGGGTCAAGTGGTAGTATTTAACTTTTTGAGAAACAAGAAGTTTTTCAAAGTGGCTAGACCATGTTACACTCCCAGCAGCAATGCATGAAGATTTTAATCTCTGGTACTAACCAACACTTGGTATTATTTACCTTACTGATTACAGCTATTCTAATATGTGTGAAGTAGTATCTCAGTTACTTTAATTTTTATTTCCCTGATTACGAACGATATAAAGCATCTTTTCATGTGCTCATTGGTCACTCATGTATCATCTTCTTGGGTGAAGTATCCATTCAAATATTTTGCCCATTTAAAAAGTATCTGTCTTTTATTGAGCTATAGAAGTTATACATATATTTGAGGCCGGGCAGGGTGGCTCACGCCCGCTGTGCCAGCACTTTGGGAAGCCAAGGCCAGGAGTTCGAGACCAGTCTGGCCAACATGGAGAAAACCAGTCTCTAGCACAGATACAAAAAATTAGCTGGGCGTGGTGATGCATGCCTGTAATCCCAGCTACTTGAGAGGCGGAGGCAGGAGAATCGCTTGAACCCAGGAGGCAGAGGTTGCAGTGAGTGGAGATCACGCCACTGCACTCCAGCCTGGGTGACAGGGCGAAACTCCGTCTCAAAAAACAAAAAAACCAAATACAAATACTTTTTTTTTGGTGTCGTATTTTGAAAAAAAAAAACTTAATTTTGATAAAGTCCAATGTTTCCATTTTTTATGGACCATCCTTTTGTTGTATCTAAGAATCTCACCTAATTAAGATGGCAAAGATTTTCTGATTTATTCTGGAAGTTTTTTGTTTTTTTTTGAGACGGAGTTTTGCTCTTGTTACCCAGACTGGAGTGCAATGGCACAATCTCGGCTCACCACAGCCTCCGCCTCCTGGGTTCAGGCAATTCTCCTGCCTCAGCCTCCTGAGTAGCTGGGATTATAGGCATGCGCCACCATGCCCAGCTAATTTTTTTTGTATTTTTAGTAGAGATGGGGTTTCACCATGTTGACCAGGTTGGTCTCGATCTCTTGACCTAGTGATCCACCCGCCTCAGCCTTCCAAAGTGCTGAGATTACAGGCTTGAACCACCGCGCGTGGCCTTATTCTGGAAATTTTATAGCTTTCGCTCTTAGGTTTAGTTCTACCACACATTTTGATCTATTTGCTTCAGCACCATTTACTGAAAGGAACATCCTTTCCCCAGGTATTCTTTTGCTAAGGTTGCCACAATAAAGCATTAGAAAATAGGTGGCTTAAACAACAGAAATTTATTTCCTCACAGTTCCAGAGGTAGAAGTCCAAGATCAAGGTGTCAGCAGAGTTGGTTTCTTCTGAAGGTCTCTTTCCTTGATTTATGGATGCTTATCTTCTCCATCTGGCTTATCTTCTTCCCCATCTGCCTGTGTCCTTATCTCTAATAAGGACACCACTTACAATGGATTAGGGTCTACCCATGTGACCCCACCTTACCTTAATTAACTGTCCAAATACAGTCACATTCTGAGGTGCTGTGGGTTAGGACTTAGACAAATGAATGTTGGGGGCTATAATTCAGCCCATTACACCTTCATGAATTAGTCTTTTTTTCCTCCAGATAGGGTCTCATTCTGTCGCCCAGGCTCAAATGCAGTGTGATCATAGCTCACTGCAGCCTCAAATTCCTAGGCTCAAGCAATCCTCTCACCTCAGCCTCCAGAGCGGCTAGGACTATAGCCCATGTTCCCATGTTTGGCTAAAATTGTTTTCTGAAGAGATAGGGTCTCACTAGACTGCCCAGACTGCTTGCATAAACTCTTAAAGGTAGTACATTCATTCCTCTTTGAGCACTAGGATTCATCCTGGGTTTTTAGCACAGCTTAGCTCCTTTCATAGTATTTAGCGTCACTGCAAAAACATTCCACCATCTAGTCCAACTCCTTCATTTTACAGATGCAGAAAATAATGATCTCCAAAAATGTTTTGTAGCACTCTATACAGAATTCAGCTATTCATCACTACATTCAGCTCTTGCTAAATCCACATCTCATTGCTTCTCTAATATTAGAAAAAGTCTGTGACAGCCATTTTATCATTTTGAATATTCTTTAATAAAAATGAATCTGTTGCCAAGGAAGAGGAAAAAAAAAAATCTCCCCAAGGTTTTCGGGTAAAGTCAAACAATTTATTTCAAAGGAAAGGCAGAGAGGCCTGCCACCCTAAAAGCTGTTTACCACTTTTTGCTTCATGTTCAGATCATCGGTACATTTCGCAAAGCTACAACTGGCATGTAACACATGTAAATTTGGAACTTGCTTTCTTCAGTTCTAGATTTTTGGTTTTTCAGAAACACAGGGGTCTTGCTTTGCCACCCAGCTGGAGTGCAGTGATGCAATCATGGTCCACTGTAGCCTTGACCTCCCAGGTTCAAGCAATCCTCCCTCCTCAGTTTCCTGAGTAGCTGGAACTACAGGTGGGCATCACTGCACCTGGCTAGTTTTTTGTTTCTTTTCCCCAAACTTTCTGCAGAGATGGAGTCTACGCTGACGAGGCTGTTCTTGAACTCCTGGACTCAACTGATCCTCCCTGCCTTCCCCAGCCTCCCAAAGTGTTAACAGGCATGAACCACTGCACCCAGTCTATTCTAGATCATTACATCGTTAATGGCTGAAAACTATTCAACTTAGATAAACCATAACGTACATATTCACGGTTAAATTTCAGGTAAAATATTTTCTTGAATTTCTTCCTCAGAAAAATTCTTTTTTTCCTTGAAGTTTTTTTTTTTTTTTTTTTTTTGAGACAGGGTCTCACTGTCACCCAAGCTAGAGTATAGGGTGGCAAGATCATGTCTCACTGCAGCCATGACCTCCTGGGCTCAAGCAACTCTCCCCACCTTAGTCTCCTGAGTAGCTGGGACTACAGGCCTGTGCCACCCAACTCAATAATTTTTTTTTTTTTTTTTTTTTGAAGATGGGGTCACCTTGCCCAGGCTGGTCTCAAACTCCTGGACTCATGCAATATGCCCACCTTGTCCTAACCTCGCAAAGTGTGGGATTACAGGCATGGGCCACTGTGACCAGCTGATGTACACATTTTGACATTCGGTATGTTTATTTATTTACAATACTTCAAAAGTTATCTAAAAACACAAATATAATTAATTACATTACCTCTCCATATCCCAATTTACTGACCTAAAATATCTATTTGATCAGCCCTCTAACATTTTTCTTTTGTGAGATGGAGTCTCCCTCTGTTGCCAGGCTGAAGTGCAGTGGCACAATCTCAGCTCACCACAACCTCCACCTCCTGAGTTCAAGCCATTTTCCTGCCTCAGCCTCCAGGGTAGCTAAGATTACAGGCACCTGCCACCACACCCAGCTAGTTTTTGTAAGCAGAGATAGCATTTCACGATGTTGTCCAGGCTGGTCTCAAACTCCTGACCTCAGGTGATTGCCTGCCTCGGCCTCCCAAAGCGCTAGGATTACAGTCATGAATGAGCCACTGCACCTGGCCTATTTTTTCAAATAATATGACTGAGACATTCACTCCCTTCCTTTTGATTCTGTACCATCCCCTTACTCAGAATGCAGACGCCTATGATTTCTAAGTCCAAAACCCAAACATATATATTCCTAAATGTAGAATTTTGTTTTAAAATTTAACATTCAGATAGAGACAATAATTGGGAAAAAACATTCAAGAGAAGTGTCTTACCCATTTCAACATGCCCCAACAAAACTGAAATTACCTTAAGAGCTACAAGCAGTTTAACTGTTTCAACTGAATAATAAATATCCTCTGTCAACAAAATTTCCCATAAACAAGTAATTTGTATCTGGGAGAAAATAATTGGGAAAAAACATTCAAAAGGACTGTCTTACCCATTTCAACACGCCCCAACATAAAAGTGAAATTACCTTAAGAGCTACAAGCAGTGTAACTGTTTCAACTGAGTAATATCCTCTGTCAACATAATCTCCCATAAACAAGTAATTTGTATCTGGTGATTTGCCACCAATTCTAAACAGTTCCATGAGATCATGAAATTGCCCATGCACATCTCCACAGACAGTGACTGGACATCGAACCTCTTGCACGTTGGATTCTTTCGTCAGGATTTCTTTAGCCTACAGATGGGAGACAAAAATAAGGCAATACATTTGGCATTAAACAATATTAACAAAGATATGTTTACTTACACTTAATGTAGCTTAAGGGGCAGACTCAGTATCAGTATTAAGACAAAATTGCAGGCATTTATGATCCCATTAAAATAAGCGAGATATGACTATAATCCATTAGTTATCTCACCCTGTTAGCTAGGAAAACAAATGTGCATAAAGGTGCAAAACCTATTCCTATCATCAATACCAGGAGTTTTTTGTTTTTTTTTTTTGAAAACCTATCAAACTGCCATCTAATTAAATACCAACAAGATCATTATTAGCAATCATACAAAAATCAATGAAAACAGAACAGGACATTCAGGTACCTACTTTTTTCCTTTAGAGTTCTAATACAATATGGCACTCAAGGATTCTTTTTTTTTTTTTTTTTTTTTTTTTTTTTTGAGACAGAGCCTCATTCTGTCACCACCCAGGCTGGAGTGCAGTGGTATGATCACAGCTCCCTGCAACCTGGACATTCCCAGCTCAGGGAATCTTCCCACCTCAGTAGCGGAGACCACAAATACACACCACCATGGCTGGCTAATTTTCACAAACTTTTTTTGTAGAGATGGGGTCTCACTACGTTGCATAGGCTGTTCTTGAACTTCTGGGCTCAAGTGATTCTCCAGCCTCATCTTCCCAAAGTGTTGGGATTACAGGCACAAGCTACCTCATCTAGGCCCTGTTTAATTTTTTAAAAACATGTTTTTAACCAGGCACAGTAGCTCATGCCTGTGAGAAAATCATGTGCTCAACCATCTGAGTGACTACTATGTACCAGGCCCCGTGCTAGCAACTGGACATACAGCGGTGAACAAGATGGCTCATTCCTACTGCAGTAGAAGGGAGAAGGACCACAAACAAGTAACCAAGCAAAAAGTACACCGTGTTAAGTGGCACGAAGGAAAGTGAGAGGGTAACTGGAAGAGACCATTTTACATAAGATATCAAAACAAACTACCACAGAGAATTGTTGCTAAAGAGCCAGGACAACCACAGATGACAAGAACTGGGTTCAAGACAGTGGTATACAATCTTAGCTATACATTAAAAACCCCAAAGGCGACCAGGTTCAGTGGCTTACATCTGTAATCCCAGCACTTTGGGAGGCCGAGGAGAGTGGATCACTTGAGGTCAGGGGTTTGAGACCAGCCTAGCCAACATGGTATAACCCTGTCTCTAATAAAAACACAAGAAAACTAGCTAGGCATGGTGGTACATGCCTGTAGTCCTAGCTACTTGGGAGGCTGAGGCAGGAGAACTGCTTAAACCAGGGAAGCGAAGGTTGCAGTGAGCCAAGACTGTACAACTGCACTTCAGCCTGGGCAACAGAGCAAGACTCTGTCTCGAAAAAATAAAAACAAAACCCCAATGCCTATCCCTTCCCCTAATCAAGTCAGAATTTTGGCGAGTGAAATCAAATCATTAATTTTTAAGCACCTCCATCCCTCCTTTCTTCAACGGGCAACCAAGTTAAAGAACCGCTATTTTCAAGACTTCAAACATTTTTGGGAGCCTATTTCAGTATACCCACCAACCACTGACATCTCTAAAGTGATCTAACATTTTACCAAGTTTAAAAGAAATTTCCACTGTGCTTCAAAAAGAGGTATCTTTTTTCGTCTTACACTGTGATTCACGCTTATAATCCCGTAGCACTTTGGGAGGCTAAGGCAGGTGGACAGCTAGAGCCGAGGAGTTCGAGACCAGCCTGGAGTACAATGGCATGATCTCAGCTCACTGTAACCTCCACCCACCAGGCTCAAGCGATCCTCCCACCTTAGCCTCCACAAATAACTGGGACCACAGATGTGTGACACTATGCCTGGCTAATTTTTTGTAGAGATGAGGCTTCACCATGTTGTCCAGGCTGGTCTCAAACTCCTGAGCTTAAGTGATTTGCCTGCCTCTGCCTCCCAACGTGCTGGATTATAGGCGTTAGCCACTGCACCCAGTCTGAGATACCTCTTAAGAAATATGTACAACTCATTATTATTAAATTCCACTTCATTTTGAAATTTTTTTTCTCCAGAGTAATTCCAACATCCCCTGATTTATTATCACTAAAAAACAAATTCACCAGGCATATTCCATTACAAAATCTGTCTGGCATTAATACCACATCTAGTGTTTTTAGCACCTATCATGTATTAATGAAAATAACTGAATGAAATGGTAAGTCCTACACTGTGAAGAAACTTCAAGTTAATCAGAAGTTTTAAAAGGACATAACGTAAGAAAACAGACGATAGGCCAGGTACGGTGGCTCATGCCTGTAATCCCAGCACTTTGGGAGGCCAAGCTGGGTGAATCATGACGAGGTCAGGAGTTCAAGACCAGTGTGGCCAACACAGTGAAAACTCATCTCTATTAAAAATACAAAAATTAGCTGAGCGTGATGGCACATGCCTGTAGTCCCAGCTACTCAGGAGGCTGAGGCAGGAGAATCACTTAAACCTGGGAGGCAGAGGCTGCAGTGAGCCAAAATCACGCCACTGCACTCCAGCCTGTTGAGAGCAAGACTCCGTCTCAAAAACAAGAAAAACAGATGGTTACATAGCACGTAAATCTTGCCATCATGTAATTTTCACATTTAAATCTATCAGAAGTTAAATGTTAATGTACATTGGTGTATAGCTGTTTACCTGTTAAGGGTATTCTCTGTATGAGTAATAAAAAGTTGACTTTTAGGACTGCCTGAAGACTACAATTGACTCAAAAGTTCTATTCAAATCATGAAAGGAAAATTAAGTCTAAATGTTGTTACTTTTTTTTTTTTGAGACGGAGTTTCGCTCTTGTTACCCAGGCTGGAGTGCAATGGCGCGATCTCGGCTCACCACAACCTCCGCCTCCTGGGTTCAGGTAATTCTCCTGCCTCAGCCTCCTGAGTAGCTGGGATTACAGGCACGCACCACCATGCCCAGCTAATGTTTTGTATTTTTAGTAGAGACGGGGTTTCACCATGTTGACCAGGATGGTCTCGATCTCTCGACCTCGTGATCCACCCGCCTCGGCCTCCCAAAGTGCTGGGATTACAGGCTTGAGCCACCGCGTCCGGCCTAAATGTTGTTACTTTTATTTCAATTTAGGCAAATCACAATGATAAACACACAAAAAAATTTGGCATAGACAAAAAAGTAATGTCCCCTCTACACAATCCCACCCTCTTTGGATAAAGTAACCAATGAAATTTTGATGTATAGATGCTCCTCAATTTATAACACAGCTGCATCCAGATAAACCTATTATAAACATAAGCAAGTCAAAAGTGCGTTTTCAGCTTACAATGTTTTCAATTTATAATACATTTATCTGGATATAGCCCCATCATAAACTGAGGAGCATACTGAATGTCTATCATTTTCGCACCATCATTAAATGGAAAAATCAGAGATTGTATATCCTTTTAAAGCGTTTACAAATTTTACATACATACTGCATGTCTACAAAAACAAGTTTTCCTTGCATTTTTAAACTAGAAACAATATTGTTCAGCAGCCTGCTTTTCTAACATTATTTAATAATATATAACATTTATTGAGAGAGCTAATTTCTCATAGTGGATGCAGAGTATCCCCTTACCGATTACAAAGCAGAGGGGTGTGAAACTACAGCAATATATCTCCCTAGTATTTTCTCCTCTGTATACATATGCAGGCACATTTCCTGAGAGAAGATACTATGAGTAAACTTAACTAGTGTATCTAGTAGTTTGCTTTTTAAATGCTGAATTAGCAAATGTCCTTTAAAATTAAAAAAAAAAAAGTTAACTCAAGTGAAAATTTTAACTTGTGAATCTAGGACAGCCAACCAAAGCTCTTTCTTCCCTTCCTACCAAACTTCACAGACCAGAACAAGTATAATTAAATACTGGTGGTAACAGTGGTATGTAGAAGCAATCATCCCTCAGACCAGGACAGAGTAAAAAAAAGAAAAATTAAAAAAAAAAAAAAAAAAAATCACCCAGCCAACTTTTAAGTAGATTTTAACAAAAATGCAACCTTGGAAATAATCAGTTTTAAGCATGATTTTTTTTTTTTTAAATGGCCTCAACTTACCAGCTCTCAGATAGTTACTACAATAAAACAGACAACACCAGAACACTACAACAATAAAACCTACAGATGTTCATTTAAAAGATCATTTTGGGCCGGGAACGGTGTAATCCCAACACTTGGGGAGGCTGAGTCAAGCAGATCACTTGAAGTTCAAGACCAATCTGGCCAATATGGTTAAACCCTGTCTCTACTAAAGATACAAAATAGCTGGGCGTTGTGGTGCATGCCTATAATCTCACCTACATGGGAAGCTGAGGCATGAAACTCGCTTGAACCCAGGAGGTGGAGGTTGCAGTGAGCCAAGATCACACCACTGTACTCCAGCCTGGGTGACACAGCAAGACTCCGTCTAAGTGTGTATGTGTGTGTGGGTATATATATATATATATATATAAAATTTTGGCAAGTGCAGCAACTCATGCCTGTAATACCAACACTTTGGGAGGCAGAGGCGTGAGTACTGCTTCACAAACTCAGGAGTTCAGAGACTAGCCTGGGCAACAACATATTGAGACCCCTCTCTACAGAAAATAAAATATAAAATTAGTCATCCATGGTGGTGCACACCTGCAATTTCAGGTACTCAAAAGGCTGAGCTGGGAGAACTGCTTGAGCCCAGGAGTTCAAGGATGCAGTCAGTCAGGATCACTTGACCCCAGGAGGGTCAAGGATACAGTGAGCCATGATCACATCACTGCACTCCAGCCTGGTAAACAACTATCTCAAAAAAAAATTTTTTTAATAAAACAAAGATAAGCTGTGCTATTACAAGGAGTTAGGCCTTGTAAATCCTGAAAGCACCTATTAAGAGTGGCTTTATGGATCACCTCCAGACCTTTAGCAACCATCATTTTCAAAGGTGGCTATACAATCTCAACTATTTAATGTCTTTAATATTC